AAGGGAAATTTGAAGTTAAAATGTTATTTAAAGCAAAATAAACAAATAAACAAACATAAATGTATGTAAACATTACCTTTTATATATATCAATTGCGTTCCAAAATAGCATTTGGAAACTTTTGATAACCCTCTGTATTTTTTCAAAAATTTTTAACTTTTATTAACCTTCATAACAGAGTATTTGAGCCTTTGTATTAGTGAGGTTTAATATGTAGAAGTTTCTTTTAGCCTATAAAATGATTCCTAGCTTCCTAGTGATTTCAAAATGATTCCCTAGCGGTTACTACAATTATTTGCGAGATTCCTGTTGCAATTCCTAAGTAAGTTTTCTTCTAAAAGCTTCATTTTAGCTTATACTTAACTTTTTTTTTATAAAATATATTTTAAGTAATGAGAAATGGTTTTTTGGATGAGTTTTATCATTTTTATAATAATTTGAAATTTTTGATTTTTTAGAAAAATGCAATAATCGTTATGTTCTTGTTATAAATATATTTAGAAATATTTGATGTTTTAAATTACTAGAGAAATTATTTATTTTATGGAAGGATTTTTTTATTTTTTCATAATGAGAACGAAAAAATTGTTTAATTTTATTATATAATTTATTATTTTAACGTAACATTTATCTTTGTGTTTTAATATTACTTTATTTTATTTTTTTTAAGTGTTATTTAAATATTTTTTTTTCGGTATTTTTTTTTAATTGATCGACAAATCACCTGATCACAATGACAAATAGTTGGATTCTTCTTTTACTTTTTACAAAGAACAAAATAAATATAATTTGTGCTACCATCTTAAGTAACACTCGAATACTATGTTTAGGAATCAAAATAAAAATATTTTAATATAATTAAAAAACAATTATTTAGTCACTTGGCTTTAAATAGATATTAATGTATATTTCTATGTCTATATACATTATGGGTAAAGATGCCTATTAACGTTAATTGTGAAACTATTTGTGAGTAGGCGTACATATCGATTATTTATATGAAATAGTTTGTAAAATATAATCTGCGAAAATCTTCCAGATGGTATGTAGATAAAAATTGTACTAACTATCAAATTTAGCCAGAAATTATTCATTGCAACAGTGTTGGCCTTTGGCCGTTTGGCTGAGGTTTGGCCATTGGCCACGCCAATTGACCACAAATTTCTGCCTTACATGATATAATGAACAGTAAAATTTGAAAAATTTTTAATGGACACTTGCATTTTGATAAATAAAATATATATTCCTTTCATTTACCTCTATTATATAGAACAAATTATTGATTCTTGTGTTAATCACCTAAACGTAAGAATAATTTACTCAAACGAATTGAATCGAATACTACATAATTTAATTTTCGCCAGTTGACAACAAACCTTTGTAACACAAAAAAAAAGTTTTCTTGCTATTGTGATGATCGTCAACTGGAGGATATACATATTTGAATTCGCCCAATCATTAGGTTACAGCTAATTTTTGAATTAGCATGTTCAAATTTTTTTTTTTAAGGGGAGGATCTATTTGTGACACACCAACCAATAATTGGGCTGAAAAAATTTTTATATTTTTTATTTTGCGTGGATTGTGAATTGTTTCGCATGTTACAAAACTCCGAAATCCGAATTATAAAATGACTAAACGTAAACTTGTCTTTTTTCTTATTTTTTTTATATTCTTTTATTTTTTAAAAAAAAAGGATTAAAAAAATAAAAGAAAAAAAAATAATGTATTATGATGAAATATTCTCTCGACGTCGAAAGACGGAACCCATAATTGTTTTTTGTTTAAGAGCATTTAGTTTGACATTCCTAGCGCTTTTCCTCATAATATATACTGCGTTCTTGATTAAATACTTGTTTCATGATGATCCTGTCATGCAGCATAGTACCAAAAATACACATCAAATACCAGTCCCTGGTAAGTAAAAGTATATGCGAAAGGAAAAACACCAATGTAATCAATTTCATTAATTAGATTCTGTTTTAAGAGATTTTATTTAATATGCACACCCCATTCAGGTTGAGTTGTAAATTTTATCGTAAGTATTAAAGCAAAACAACAAATAAAAATAGAAAAATTTTAACATAATTTAAAATAACATTTCTGTTTGTAGTGGGGACTGACTTAGCGCTAGAACATGTAAGAGAGGATGATAGTTGTAATAACTATTTAACCCAACCAAAGAAAGTTGAAGATGATGATGATTATTATGGTTATTTCACACATGAAAATATATTATATTACGAGGATCCAAACATAAATCCAGATGCTTTAGCATTTGTAGAAGTATCAATTGACGTAGATGCTTCTATTGCTAAGCCCGGATCGCCACTGATAGTAATTCTTGATGCTGGTAAATTAGTTAATTATGATTATTTTTCGTTTTATTTATTTTATTTTTTATTTTATATTAAAAAAAAAATTTACTATTATCTAGAAAAAAATCCCCTAAAACTCCCAAATGGTGAACTTAATAGCTCAGCTATTGATCATTTGCCTAACGATATAAGAGAATGTGTCACAAATAATATGTATTATGTGCCTAGAGGGCAGGTAAGATTGATATTAATAAAGTTTTTTTTTTTTTGTTTATAATAAAAATTTCCTTAATGAATATTGTTAAATTATTTTAGATGGCACGTATAAGCTTTAATAGACATATAAGAAATGTAATTAATTCAGCGTTCATATCTACTTTTGGAATTTCTTCAAATTATAAAGAAAAACCTTACATTATGTCCAATTTTCGTAAGTAATATTAAAAATGAATAGTCGCTTATGATCATTGTACTTATATCGCCATCATATTATTTTTTTTTTTTTTTGAAATAGAGACTGAACCTCTTGAATTAAATACCTTAACCGACGGAGTCTCTAGTAGTAGAATTCTTCTAAATGCACAATATTTCTTCATTAACGTAGAGACTGAACAAAGGTATGGATCATTTCCGATAACGTGCGTAAAATTACAAGTTTGTTACGAACTCCTTTATTAACACATTCTTTACTAAACATTTTAGAACACGAACTGTAAGGAAAGTTTTGATAAGTTTGTTTCAAGTTGAAGTGCATTTTTAAACCCTTATTCCATTTTAAATAGGTATTCAGCATGGTTGGTCTCGTGGGTGGTGCTTACGGTATAGCCTCGGCATTATATGTGGTTTTATTTGGTAACAAATTTATAATTAATTTCTTTTAAATTCAAAATTATAATCCATCATTGACTTTAATTATAATAAACAGGAACAAACGTGAT